AACTCTCACTCATTATAAAGTGGTGAGGGTCTCAAAGTGGGGGGTGAAGAGGGAGACCCAGGCTTCTCAGGTCAACTTCCCCTTTGACTATCATGCTGCATTTCAATAAAAGAAAAGGTTGACCGACTGGCGCCTCCGGTTTTAGCTTCCTATAGGTGACAGGCTAGGCCTTGGGGAAACTCTCCAGAAGACACTATTTTTACTTCAAAAAAGATCAAACCAGAAACCTTTTCACATGTGAGTCCCAAAACTGTAAACCAGAACCCTTTCATATGTGATTCCTGAAACTGTAAACCAAAACCTTTTCACATGTGAGTCCTAAAACTATGAACCTAAGATTCTTTCACCTGTAATATGTAAAGTAGAAGCCTATATAAAGGCTGAACCTCCCTTTGTTAGACGAGCTGGGTTTTGGACAAATTATCGCCCAGGCTCCCGGCCGTAATAATAACAATAAACCCCTCTTCCTCCTGCATTCGGTGTTTGAGAGATCCGTTTCCCCAGGCTGCTCCTGCTACGCCCTTACCTGTAAGATATGATTAAGTACAGATGTGCCTTGTTTTATTGGAGTTCACTTTATTGCTTTTCATAGAGACTGCATTTTCTACAGATTGAAGGTCTGTGGCAACCCTGTGTCAAGCAAATCCATCATTGCCATTTTTTTAATAGCACGTGCTCACTGTACCTCTCTTTGTCGGATTTTGGTAATTCTCACAATATTTCAAGCTTTTCATCATTCTAACTATGATGGTGATCTGTGATCAGTGTTCTTTGAAGTCACTATTGTAATTGTTTGGGGGTGCTACAAACCTCACCCATATAAGATGGCGAGCATAATGGATAAATGTGTGTGTTGTTCTGACTGCTCCACCGATCGGTGGTTCCCCGTCTCTCTCCCACTCCTTGTGCCTCTCTTTATTATCTCAGATACAACAATATTGAAATTAGAACAATAACCCTACAATGGCCTCTAAGTGTTCTAGTGAAAGAAAGTCATGTTAAAACAAAGGCTACAAATGATTAAGCTTAGTGAGGAAGGCGAGTGGAAAGCTGAGACAGAAGCTGGCGGGGCGGCTCAGCACTTGGTGCTAAATCCGCACAGGAAGTGCTCTAGAAATGGAACAAAGCCAGGGTGACAGCACATCTGGTTGCAGCATGGTTGACTGAGTCGTTTTTGGTGTTTTGTTTTGTTTTGTTTCGAGACAGAGTCTCGCTCTGTTGCCCAAGCTGGAGTGCAGCGGCGCGATCTTGGCTGACTGCAGCCTCCGCCGCCAGGTTCAAGCGTTCCTGCTGCCTCAGCCCTCCCCCAGTAGCTGGGATTACACGAATGCGCCACCACGCCCGGCTAATTTTTTTATTTTTAGTGGAGACGGGGTTTCACTATGTTGGCCAGTCTGGTTTCAAACTCCTGACCTCAGGTGATCCACCCACCTCAGCCTCCCAAAGTGCTGGGATTAAAGGCGTTGAGTCACCGCTCCCAGCCACAATAAATATTCTTGCTTGCAGCTTTTTTTTAAAAAAAATCATGGTTTTGTTTAGTTTGTCATATGAACATGGACAGAGTCAAGTTTGCTATTGTGCTACCTAAAGATGTCAGAGGGCACAGGAAATATCTCGGCAGCCAGTTACTGGGGGTTTCCAGCATTCCCTCAGAGGGGAGGGACTCATGGAGGGGATGCTGGTGCTTCAGGACATAAGTGCTGGAGGAACTCCCTTCTCTTTTCATATTTCACCTTCCTACATCCCCAGGGAGACCTTGCCTGGTCAGGCAGCCCCACCCGACAAGCACCACCTGGTTTAGGCAGAGTTTCCCATAAAGCCCACCTCACCCAGCCAGCCATGGGCCGTTTCTCTCAAAGCACGCAGCTCAAGCTGAAAGAACCTGTGGCTGCTCCGAAAGTTTCCTGATATAATTCCAACAAAGGAGCGCATACATTACTCAGCTCTGCAGGGAGACTAAAGCCAGCGCAGCAGCTCCCGGGAGGCACGGGAGTGTTTGAACCGTGGCTTTGGCTGCAGGGGACACCACAAGAGCCTTCCCTCCCTCTCTCCCGCATGCAGAGGCAGACTTGAGACACTCTGATGACCTTCCCCATCTTCCCTCCAAAAATCTCTGCCCATTTAATCCTATCTTGGCATCTGCTTCTCAGAGTATCCATTTCCTCAGAAGCAGGCTTTGGGGTCTCTGATATCACCATCCCTCCTTAGACACCCATGGCCTGTGTGTAGACAATTCAATGCCATGGGCCACACATGGTGGAGGTGGAGGAGGTGCTGGGAGATCCAGAGAGGAGAGTAACTGATTCTTCCTGGAGGTCTAGAAGGTCAAGAGAGGACAGGAAATGGTGGTGTTTCAGGAGAGCCCTGAAGGATGAGTGGGAGGGAACCAGCAACCCTAAAAGAGAAGTGCAGGGGACGGGCACCGTGGCTCACGCCTGTAACCCCAATACTTTGGGAGGCTGAGGCGGGAAGATCATTTGAGGTCAGGAGTTTGAGACCAGCCTGGCCAACATGGTGGAACCCCATCTTTACTAAAAATACAAAAATTAGCTGGGCATGGTGGCAAGCACCTGTAATCTCAGCTACTTGGGAAGGCTGAGGCAGGAGAATCGCTTGAACCCAGGAGGTGGAGGTTGGAGTGATTGTACCACTGCACTCCAGCCTGAGCGACAGAGCAACACTCTATCTCAAAAAAAAAAAAAAAAAAAAAAGGCAGGACAGCTCAAATGCTGAGCCAAAGACTGGGGGCTTTATCCTGCCAGCAAGAGGGAGTTGAAAGTTTTGAGCAACTGAGTCCCGTAACCACATTTGCGTTTTTGGAAACATTACCTGGGTCAAGATTAAAGGCTAGAGGGCAATTAGGAGGCCTTGCAACAGATCATTTGTCTTTCACAAAGATTTAATGAGGAAGGAGTCAGAATATAATAGTTTTATCATGGCGTTGGATTTTACAACCAAATAATCCCTTTACTATATGGTTTTATTTCCTCTCTTCTACCTCAGAAATCAGGACTCCACGGGCCGCCCTCTGGGAGACACACCCAGGTGTGCCGCCTTCCCTTGCCAGATCCTTAGGCCTTTCTTACCCAAATCACAACTCCCTTTCACCCTTAGTCCCATACCCACCATCTCCCGAAAAAACCCCCACAATGGTAGCAGCTGCCACAGCTGCAAGCCCTTCTGCCCATCCCCATGAGAATGACTGGCCCCAGCGTCTTCCCTCAGGAGACAGGGGAGGAGCCTCCAGACCCACCTGCCTGGATCCCCAAAGGTCTCTCCCTGCAGGGAAGAGGTACTCTCAGTCCTCAGTGGTTACTCCAGAGCCCAAGAAATGCCCTGTACACTAAAACCAAAGAAGTGGTGAACCAGCAAGTAAGTGGGGAGCGGCTGGTTCTGGGAGATCTAGTGGGGCATCTTCTCTTCCCCATGAGCAGCAGGGCCCGGCGTAAGCCAGGCATCATGCTCTTTCTCTTGGTTGGCAACCTGGCGGACTCCTCAATGCTCCAGACGCTTGATAAACATATCCCAGAGGCAAAGCAAGTTAAGTCTCGGGTTGTTGATTCACCTAGAATCGTCTCTGGCACTTTTCCAGTGGCTTCTTTTTGATGTTTTTCTGGTTTTAGTTGCAACAGAGTCTCGCTATGTTGCCCAGCCTGGTCTCAAACTCCTGACCTCAAATGATCCTCCCGCCTCAACCTCCCAAAGTGTTGGGATTACAGGCGTGAGTGCCCAGCCGTTAAATGTCTTTGTTTTGGTTTATGTTTCTTTACTTCCACTCCTGGCACAAACCTCACATGTCTTTGACTGGAGGAACATGTTTTGGATCTATACCTCTCTTTAATCTACGTGGAGAGTGAATAACACAATGGGGTGTGCACCAGGTCAGAGCTTCCCCCAGCAGGAGTCTCGGTGGCCAGCAGCATCACCTGGGAACATGCTAGAAATGAACATTTTTGGCAGGGCATGGTGGCTCACACCTGTAATCCCAGCACTTTGGGAGGACAAGGAGGGTGGATCACAAGGTCAAGAGATCGAGACCATCTTGGCCAACATGGTGAAACCTCATCTCTACTAAAAATACAAAAATTAGCTGGGCATGGCGGCTCACACCTGCAGTCCCAGCCACTCAGGAGGCTGAAGCAGGAGAATCACTTGAACCTGTGAGGTAGAGGTTGCAGTGAGCCGAGGTCACACCACTGTACTTCAGCCTGGTGACAGAGCAAGACTCTGTCTCAGAA